AGGTTGAGAAGGCCTCCCTATCAAGTTTAAAACTAATTAATTATACAACTATAGCAAGTAAATCAGCAAGTGGATATCCAAATACAATGTAGAATATATGCAAATAATGCTATATACAAAATGAAATTGAACCATACATATTTACAGGCATAATCTCAAAAGCATAAAAATTTTTAAGTTTTAGAAAAATTCAGTATGATTCCATTTAAATAAAGTTTAAAATATGGAAAATTGTAAGGTGCCATTGAGTCAGTACCAATTCACATCAACTCTATGTACAACAAAACGAAAGATGACCTAGTTTTGTGCCATCCTTGCAATCATTGCTGTGTTTGACTCCATTATTAGTTACGGCATCAGTATCAGTCTGTCTTGTGAAGGGCTTTATTTTTCTTCCCTGTGCTTCTACTTTACCATATAGAATGTCCTTCACCATGGTTCTTCGTGAGAATATGTCTAAAGTATATGGCATGAAGCTTTTCATACTTAAACTTCTAAGGGACATCTGGCTGTACTTCTAAGAGAGATTTGTTTTGTTCTTTAGGCAGTGCATGAAGCTTTCAGTATTTTCCCCCAGTACCATAATTCAAATACATCAGTTTTTCTGTGGTTTTTCTTACTCTATTGTCCAACTTTTGTGGGCATGTGAGGTATTTGAAAATAGTATGTTTTGAGTCAGGAGCACTTTAAGCCTCAAAGACTTCTTTGCTCTTAACACTTTAAAGAGATCTTTTATTAGCACATTTGCCCCAGTGCAACATACCTGATGCATACCAGTTCCTAATGTTGTTAACCAGAGCCCTGATGGCATAGTGCTTACTCATTGGGGTGTGATCCACAAGTTCAGCAGTTTGAAACCACCAGCCACTCCGAGAGAGAAAGATGTGGCCTTCTACTCCCATAAACAGTTGCAGTCTTGGAAACTCACAAAGGCAGTTCTACCCTGTCCTGTAGGGCTGCTGTGAATCAGCATCAGCTCAATGGTAGTGAGTTTGGTTTTGATTTAATAATGTTAACATTATTTGAAAGTCTTATACTTGATTATATATTCATTACTTGGTAATATATTCATGTCTAATCTATTTCCATACAGCTAAAGATCATCTTCATTCCACTTCATAAACATTATAAAATTTCCTTATCAAAAAATTATATAAATGGACTTGGTTGCTTCTCAGGTAGGTGGATGCATAAGCAAATGTGGTGAAGAAAGCTGATGGTGCTTGGCTATCAAAAGATATAGCATCTGGGGTCTTAAAGGCTTGAAGATAAACAAGTGGCCATCTAGCTCAGAAGCAAC